ATGACCAAGGACGAGGAGCGCGCGGTCAAGGACGAGCTGCTGGGCGAGAAGGCCGAGGTCAAGCAGAAGTGGGCGTCCCGGCTGCTGGCCAAATTGCGCAAGGACATTCGGCCCGAGTGCCGCGAGGACTTTGTGCTGACCATCACGGGCAAGAAGCCGGCCTCCTGCGTGCTCTCCAACCCCGACCAGAAGGGCAAGATGCGGCGGATCGACTGCCTGCGGCAGGCCGACAAGGTGTGGCGGCTGGACCTGGTGATGGTGATCCTCTTCAAGGGCATCCCTCTGGAGAGCACGGACGGCGAGCGGCTGGTGAAAGCCGGCCAGTGCACCAACCCCGTGCTCTGCGTCCAGCCTCACCACATCAGCGTCTCCGTCAAGGAGCTCGACCTCTACTTGGCCTACTTCGTCCAGGAGAGAGGTGAGTGGCCGGGAATAATGGCAGCTCCCACAATGCCTCTGGGTCTGAGGGCGAGAGTTAGGACACTGGTGGCTTGGGCTGTGAGCCGAGCGAAGGCCAAGGCTGTGAGCAGGGGTGGGGGGGGGGTGGGTACTGTGCAGACCCAAGGCAGGGGGACACAGGAGGTAAATGAAAAGGGGACTGTCTGCTGCTTTTGGTTTACCTTGCGGTTGCCCAGCTATCTTTCTGTTTGGGGGGGTGTGGGTGCCTCCTGCCCCCCAGCACAGGCAGTGTATCTCGTCATCCAGCTGTCAGGCCTGTCACATCGTTACTGCTGTGCCACGATTCTTGTTATTTATTTGGCTGCAGAGTCTGTGTTAACAGTGTCGTGTCACTGTGACAGTATGAGTGTGTGCGTGTGTGTGTGTCTGCGCACTTTCCCCTTTTTTAAGTAACCGAGAAACTTCAACGTACAGCTAAATAAAGACCCACAGCAGCGTTTGATTGGTCGAAAAAGGAAAACAGTTTCCCAGAACAAAAACGAAACGAGGGTCTGTCTATCCAGACCCTGGATCGGCCCGTTGAGGCGGCGTGGTAGGGAGGAGAGGATAGCAGCATGACCGTTAGCCAGGTCTGTTAATGGCCTCCGAGTTGCTCAGGACGCCGGCAGCCTGCGGGGGGGGGAGCGAGCAAAGCAGAGTGGCAGGAAGGACATGAAGTCTGTCTTGTTTATTTGGTGGTAGTTCCTTTGCCCCCGGCGCATGCTTGCTCTCTCTCTCTCTCTCTCTCCCTCCCTCCCACTTGCGGTCCCTCTTCTCTGCCAGCCCAGGCAACCTTCACCCTCAGACATGTGGGTCACTGTGGCAACCGGCTGGTCACATGACCCTGCCTAATGGCCTACAAACCGCTGGCTGTAAACACTTTGATAAGGCGCCATGGCTTTCCACTTTCACTCAGGCCTGGAGGGAGGAGGAGGGGCAGGGCAGCCAGTCAGCTTTTGTCCTTAAAGGGACAGGAGCCCTTAAATTCGCGAGGCTTGTGATTCCCGCCTCGCCTGTCCGAGCTTACGAGGTTGTATCTGGCAGATGCTGAAATTCAGGCCTCGGCTGAGGCCTGCACATATGACCAAAAAAAGTCATGTGACTTTCAGCTCCACCCCTGTAGTCGTCTGTCGTCTACAGTTACCTTATAAAGTGCTAGAAAATCCCGCTGTTCATTTGGTCATTGCTCAGTGCCAAACTGTGTATTGAAGTTGGTCATAATCCGACATAACCACAGAATCTGAGTTGGGGTGTTATTGGTTAGCTGTTGTCCCTCTTCCAGTTCCTCTGAAAGGCCGACCTTCCCATGAAGTCCGGGGACAGACCCGTCTCCGCCACAGACCCGTTACGCCGCGGCATCCCACGTGGCGGCCGAGGCGTGTGTGCGTGCGTGTGCCCTCCCGCGTACAGTAACCGTTTCCCAAACCGTAGGCCAGACGCACAGGAAACCCAGCCGAGGAGAGAGACAGGAACCTGCTTCACTGCTGCAGCAAGATAATTTTAGGCGGGGGCTCATGAGGTGGGAGGTGGAGCGGGGTCATTTCAGGTCATGTTCAGGCGGCTTGTTCGGCTGCTGGCGGGGGCTCAGCCAATGGCGTCTCAGTGCAGTCTTTATATAGCCCCATGTGTGAACGAGTTACTCCAAAGCACTGGCTTATAGGAAGACCTTACAGAATATTCCGTCGCTTCAACTTTTACAATAAAAAATATTACAAACTTTTAATAGGGACAGGGAAAACATGTGACTTTGTTTATAAGACTTTGTTTTATCTTGATTTTCAGTGAGGGGGGGGGAGTGGCACTGAACCTGTACACCCCTCCCAGAGCAGGAGATGCGATTGACGGCGACAGGAAGCAAAACCTCACTCATGCTCCTGCCCGAGCAAGTCTGTGCCCCTACACCCCCCAGTGGTATTTCGCTGAGCGTAACAGGGCATTGGCACTGCAGTGTGGCCACGCCCCTCTCCCCCCCGGCCGGGCATGTCCATGCCAAGTGTCACGTACGCCCCCGGCCCCAGCAGTTTTGGCAGGGGGGGTGAGTTTAATAAAAACCAGTTTGACTCTTTGGGAATCAATGTTCCGGATCGATCCGGCGTGGATAAGGGGGGCATGGGTGCACTGGGCCCTGCTGATTCCCAAGTTCCCCCTTCCCATTACCGACACATTGCCATGCCGATGGATATCAACATCTGGTGACTGGAACACATCTGTGTGAGGGAGCGATGTGTCCCTTCTCAAGATGAACAGTGGGAGGCGCTGGACTTGGGGAAAACATGTTTTTCAGATTAAGACGCAAGGCAACCGTGATGGTCATTTCACTTTAGAAATGAGATTTCGGCTCTGGCAGAAATGTCTAACAATGACGTTGTCGGAAAAGCATCTTCGAGCCCTAAAACCTTTTTTTAAGTGTTTGTTATTTTCAAAGCACCGTGGAGATGCAATGGAGTCAGTGGAAAACAGCCGAAATCACCAGTTTTCACTCCACGCTCATCAGCTTCCAGTGACACCCACCAGAGATGTATAGTAACGAAGTAGAACTACTTCACTACTGTACTTAAGTACTAAAA